ATGCAGTACGGCAAATGTGGTGAGATCTCACTCTGTGATTATGTTTTGTTATGTAAGACTTCATCTTAACGAACGGGGGAGAGATGCCCTTTTTGGATTTGATAAAGGCAGCAGCCAGGCTGGAGAATCCCATATGGCAGGGAAGTGCAGGAAGCCTCTAGACTCTAAGAGAGGTCCTGTCAATAACCAGCAAAGAGCCAGGACCCTCAGCCATGCAGCTGCATGGAGATGGATTCTGCCAACAACCTGAATAACCTTGAATTGAATTCTTCCCCAGTCAGACTTCCAGATGAGACTGCAACCCAGCTGATACCTTCATTATACCCTTGAGAGACTGTGAGTACATGACCCAGCTAAGCTGTGCCTGGACTTCTGACTGTGAAATGATAAATGTGTGTTGTTTTAAGCTGGTAAATTTATGTAACTCATTATGCAGCACACAGAGCTGAAACAATATCCATTTCTATCACTCGAAACCAGCACATGCTAATTAAAGTTTTCATCTTTTCAGTGTGCTTTTCATTTCAATTTTGTTTTGTATCTAATTTATTCAGAGATAATAAATTCATATGGCACCAAAATTTAAAACTACGAAAGCATTTATAGTAAAAAAGTCTCTGTTTTTCTGTTCCCAGTTACTCAGTTTCCCTCCCCAGGGGCAACTTGTGTTACCAGTTTCTTGTTTATCCTTCCAGGGAAGTTCTACGTTTCTATTTGCAATCACCACTAAATAAATGTATTTATTTTGTGTGAATGGCACTATACTATGTGTATTCTGCACTTTGTTTCTCAGTTAACGTTTCTTAAAGGTTATTCTGTATCAGTTCCATCAAAATTCTTGATTTTTAAAATGGGTGTGTCACAATTTAATAACCAGTCTCCAGTTGATAGACTTTTAGGTAGTGCTCAATGTTTTGTTTTACAAATAATATTGTAACATACTTTGTACATTTGTAATATGGTACAAGTGCAAGTATTTCTGAAGAAGAAATTTCTAGAAGTGGAATTTCAGGTTGAAAGGACACATATCTTTGTAATAATGATAGATATTGTTTCTCTTCCATAAAATTCATAACAGTTCATTCTTCTGCCATAATGTATGAGAATCCATGTTTCTCTTACACCTCACAAAGACAGAGTCAATCTTTTTGCTTCTTGATAAACTGTCAGGTGAATAATGACTTATCAGCACATTTAATTTGAGGTTGAGTATATTTTCATAGGTTCAACAAATGTTCCGTTCTGAAATCTTCATTTCCTTTACCACTTTCTTATTTGTTTGCTGGTATTTTTTCTTTTTAAAAGATTGATATGAAAATCTCTTAATTAGGATAATTAGCCCTTTGTAATATGATTTGCAAATACTGTATTTTACTCGATTGCATTTGGATTTTATTTATTATGGTCTTTGCAATATTTATTTCTAAAAATTTAAATTTATTGGTCTTTTCCTTTTTTCATCTTCCCTTTCTCTCTTTTTTCTCTCTCCTTCCTTCCCTCCCTCCCTTCCTTCCTTCCTCTCGTCCCCTCTCTCCCCTCCACTTTCCTCCTTTCTTCCCTCCCTCCCTCCCTCCCTTCCTTCCCTCCTACTCTTTCTCTCTCTCTCTCAGCTTCTGAGTTTAAGTAATGCTTAAAAAATCCTTCCCTAATCTATTATAATAATATAAACAGCCAACTATGATGCTTCAAAAATATCAGTTAAATAGAATACAAGGAAGTTGATCCCTTTGAGACTGACCAATAAAAGAACCTCTGGTACGAACCATAGAGAAAGAAGAAATTTCAAATTTTCAAGCCAGAAAATGGATGCAGGTGCAGTTTCTCCTGGGCAAAGGCTGAATTCCCCTTACCTGTAAAATGGGAATGCTATTACCCGTCCCACCTTGCCTGCCTTGCAAAAGTTGCTGAGAGGAACCAATGAAGCCGATGAGAATGGAAAAGCCTTGAAAACCAGTCAAGTTTTATACACATGCACATAGACCTTCCCAGTGAGCCGGAGTAAATACGTCCAGCCCAATCAATACCAATGCCTTCACCATCCTCAAAATTACCCTGGTTGGAAAACTCCAAGTTATCTTTCACCCCTTCTTCCCATATCCTCCACATCTAGAGAGTTGCCACAGTTCACTGATTCTAATGCTAAGATTTTTCTTGCATCTGTCTTCTCTTTTCTCTTTTCACCGCCACTGCCATTGTTCTGCCTCCATCTTTTCTTGGTTGGACCATTGCAGAATTGTCCTCAGTGTCTATCTGCCACTGGTCCTTTGCTTTCCCCAGTCTTCTGCTCCCAGGCCCAGGCCTGGGATCATTCTCAAAGACAAGCCATACCTGGCTGGAGCCAGTTAAGTATGAATATCTAGGCAGACCAGCTGATTGTCTGTCTCCTCAGCAGCCAACTCAGTTTAGTTCATTAGGTGACTAGGACCCTGCTCTAGCCCAAGGGGGTGTGACTCTTTATTATTTTAAGCTAAACATGGCAATTCCATTTCCCTTGCCAGCGACTGGCATAGGAACGGACGTGGGCACAAATCTGGCCAAGGAGATGGTGATGGGAAGACTATCAGGAGAATTCTGGGAAATATTTTCCTTGTTTCTTTCCTCCCCTTCTTTTTAGAGATGGAGGGTCTTGCTATGTTGCCCAGGCTGACCTGGAACTCCTGGGCTCAAGTGATCCTCCTGCTTCAGCCTCCCAAGTAGCTGGGACTACAGGAATGTGCCACTGTACCCAGCATTCTGGAAAAGATTATCTGGTTCTGACGTAATTTCCTACTCCTTCTTCCTGTTGGTCTGCATGTGATGCCTGAAACTGTGGTGGACATTCTGAGACCACGAGGGGAAGATGAGGCCTCTCAAACTGATGGTGGTAGAAAGGGCAAACGGAAAGAACCCTAATAATGTTGACCTGTGGAACTGATCAAACCTGGGATTGCCACGCCTCTGGCTTCTTACAGGACAGAATCAATGTGTGGAATGCTGTGTGGGGTTTCTGCTACTTGCATCTGTGAGTAGTCCTACAGCTGAAAATACTACTGTCACACCTGTTGACATCACAGGGCACCCTGACTGGAGCAAAGCCGCCATGTGCCTGCGTCTGGCACGGAGGACACCTTGTTCTCCTGGGATCTGGTTGCTTGTGTTAATAAAACTGAGGCTTTTGTTTGGCCTAGGGGAGGAGAGAAGGTTAGGGGTATATGCAAAGACAGGGACATGAAGACAATGGGGGGATGTCACAGCAATTGTCTTTTCTTCCCCCCAAGATCATTACCATTGGCCTACTCTGAGGATCAGTGTATTAATCTGTTCTCACACTGCTCTAAAGAACTACTTGAGACTGGGTAATTTATGAAGAAAAGAGGTTCAGTTGACTTACAGTTCTGCAGGCTGTACAGGAAGCATGGCTGGGGAGGTTGCAGGAAACTTACAATCATGGTGGAAGGCAAAGGAGAAGCAGGCAAGTCTCACGTGGTGGAGCAGGAGGAAGAGAGAGAGTGAAGGGGAAGGTGCTATACATTTTCAAACAACCAGATCTTGTGAGAACTCTATCACGAGACAGCATTAGGGGCAAGGTGCTAACCAATTAGAAACCACCCTCATGATCCAATCACCTCCCACCAGGCCCCGCCCCCAACATTGGGGGTTATAATTTGACATGAGATTTGGGTGGGGACACAGAGACAAACCGTATCAATCGGCTTTGAGCCCTGATGGAAAGAGGTTTGGGCCAGGAGTCAGAAGAGTGGCATTCATGAAAGTGTTGAGAGATCCTCAGGATCTCAAGGCCCAGCAGGCAGGGAAGAGTGGCAGCAGGGATGACTTAGGAGGCTGATGCAATGGCCAAGTAAAGAGGAAGGAGGGTCCTGGCCCAGGAAGCTTGTACGGCACGGTGAGGAGTGGCCAACGGCTCTCTCTGGGGGTTGGACAAGGAGAGGAGAGCTCCCTGAAGGCCTCAGCAGCAAAAGGGATCACAGAACCTGGACCCCTGGCCTGGTGACCTGGGACTGAGACATCTTGGCATGGCTTTTGTCTCCTTGGAGCTGTCACTGCTTCTGGGGACAGAGTAGGTCCTGGGGAGAGGGTCACATGGGTAAGCAGGGACCAACAGATGGGAGAACAGGATGGATCCTGGACTCCCACTTTTGCTTTGGAAGTGAACATGGAAACAAGTACAGATTTGGGGGTTGAGCCTCCGGTATAAGCAGATTAAGAATTTCGGGCGGAAGCAGGAATGATGGTGGCTGCCTCTCCTGAATTTTGAACCCACGAGTGCTTGCCTATAGGAGTCAAGGTCCCTCGTATGCTCACAGCTGGCCTGCCTCAGAAAGAGGGCAGCCTTGGGGTTTTGTGCACACACCAAGAAGATTGACGCATCCAGCTGAGAAGAGATCTGCATCCTGGACCTGCTTCCTAACTGCCACATACAATTTCCTGGGGCTACGCGAGGCCTTTTCACATTTGCTTCCGCCTTCTCTACACCGACAGGCACGTTCAGAAGCAGCCAGAGTCTGGCCCTGGTATTGCTGACAGGTGGGCACCTGCAGCTGGGTTCTGTTGCCATGGTAACAAGGTAGGGAAAACTGCCCCAGAGCTCTGGGGCTGATTAGACCTCAAGGACAGTCCACTGTCGCCTGACACCATGTCTTCTGGGGCGCTGCTGAGTGTAACTGTCCAGGAGGAGATGGGAATTTTTTGAGACAGAAAATTTAAATGAATGGAAAATTAGATGCTCTACCAAAGATATTGTCCCCTTCCTTTCCCTATATATATTTGTCACTACCAGTTACGAATATACAATTTCCTGTCTCGGTGTCAACTAGTAGCATCTAAGAAAGGTGGTCCCGCTTCCTGCTGACATTCGAAGTTATGTAGAATAAGACATGCTTATTTTGGAACATGACTTGTGTTCTAAGAAAACTTACTAATAAGTGTTACCTGACATTGAACTTGGGGTGTCTTAGTCAGCTTAGGCTGCTATAATAAAATACATGCTACATGCCAGGTGTTTTAAATAACAGACATTTATTTCTCACAGTTCTGGAGGTGAGAAAGTCCAAGATCAAGAGCTGGCTGATTTCATTTCTGTTAAGGACTCTCCTCCTGGCTTGTTGATGGCTGCCTTCTTGCTGTGTGCTCCTATGGCCTTCCGTCTGCTTGTGGAGAGAAAGAGCAAACACTCTGGCCTATTCTATGAGGGCACTAATTCCATCATGAGGGCCCCACCCTCATTGTCTCATCTGGCCTTAATCATCTCCCAAAGGCCCTATCTCCAAATATCACATTGGGAATAGGGGCTTCAGCATATGAATTTTCAGAGGACATAAATATTCAGCCTATAACATGGGGCCGACACAGTTTGAAAGTGGCCCGTCAGCACCTATCAGGAAACATTTTTTATTTGATTCATTTATTTGTTCACTCATTCATTTAGCCATTTTTTATTTTGAGAGCCAGGGACCATTCAATGTCCTAGGATATAGCAGAGAACGAAATAGACAAAAATTTCTGCTGCCATCAGGTTTACCTTTTAGTGGCCAGAGACGGGAAAATTTAAAAGTAAGCAAGTAATTATATAATCAGTGGTGATAAGAGCAATTAAAAAGCATAAAGCAAAAGAGAATGACAGGGTGCGGAGGGGGACTTGCTGTTCCACATGGAGTGATCCGGGAAGACCTGGGCATCGCAGCAGAGGCCTTCTGGTGGCCACGATAAAGCGTCTTGCAAGATCTTCTACTACAGGGAGCATAACTGATGGAAGGCCACAGCTATTTCATTTTGAAATTCATTACTGCTTTTGTGTGAAGGGCATGTCTCCTGGGAGACGTGGGACTTCCTCATCAGCACACTTTAGCTCAGGGACTCCCTGATGGTTTTGTCAAAACTTCCTCAGCCTGCCCAGCTCTAGAGAAGGCTTCCACTCTACCTTCTCTCTTTTCTCCTTCCCTTTGGGTCAGACTTGCATCATGATCCCGCTACAACCCCCAACTTCCTCTGCTCCATCCCTATTTCCTTTTGCAAGGCATTTCCCGTAATAAAAGCCTCGCGTGATTAATCCGTTGCGGCACCTGCTTCTCAGAGGACCAGGACTAATGCAGATTTGAAGGAAGTTAGAGAGTAAACCATGTGGATTGGTGAGGGAAATATAATCCAGGCTGAGGGAACAGAGACTGCGATGGTCTTAGGGCAAGAGCAAGGCTGGTTTGCATGAGATCTGAGATTTGACTTTTTACCCTATTCACATGCGAATAGGTTAGTGTGTGACTGTTTCATAGATTCTGGCAGAAGACACGAGAGTCCGGGTCAGAGACAAAAGACTCAGTATTCATCGCACAGCCATACATTCTGTTGGTCAAAATGAGTCAATAGGACAGGCCGGAGTCAAGGGGAGGGAAGTGGCCTCTTTCTCTTCACCGGGAAGCAGCTAAGTCACATTGCCAGGAGGTGTGGATACAGCGGGGAGAAGAACTGCAGCCAGTTTTTCAAAGCACCACAGTAAGGACTGGAGCCAGGTGCCTGAGGAGCTTGAGGACAAAGAGGAAATTCACTGAGTGATCAAGCAAGGCCTCCTGGAAGACTTAAGTCTTTAGCCGTGCCAAATCCCTTGTTGTTGTTTTGAGACAGGGACTTGCTCTGTCTCTTATGCTGGAATGCAATGACATGATCACGGCTCACTGCTGCACCCTCGAACTTCCGGACTCAAGCAATCCTCCCATCTCTGCCTCTTGAGTAGCTGGGAATACGGGCACATGCTACCATGCCAGGCTAATTTTTTAAATTGTTTTTGGTAGAGCTAGGGTCTCACTATGTTGTCCAGGCTGGTCTTGAACTCCTGAGCTCAAGTGCTGACCGTTTAGCCTGCCAAGAACCAGCTGCCGCCTCCCTGTGGGTCTCAGAGAGAACACAACCACCACCTCTCCTGACGGCCTGGGAAGCAAGACCAAAACAGGTCACGTGAGTCTTCCATTGTTGACATTCTGTTGGGTGGCGGAGGAGAGGGGAAGGAGGGGTCAGACCCCGAATTCCAGGCTATGCCTGCTCTCACCTCCGCCGCAATGACTCTCCCCCTCACCACACACATTTGCCCAGCCACTAGGGTCAAGCCTGCCACTGAATCAGGAAAGCAGTTTGTTCATGCAGAATGTGTCACTGTTGGAAGTTTCTCTCTCATCATTAACTAATTTGCTGTGCTTTGCCACAGCCCTTGTTATCTATAACCATGGTAACAATGCAAAGAGCTGTACATGCATTTATTTTGGACTCTAAAAGCCCAAGCATGGTTTATTTCTGTCTCTTGGCTTCGAAGGAGCTGGGTGGGCCTGGAGGCAGGGGCTGGAGCTAGCGGACCGGCCCTTAGTCCCTGAGCCTATCAGTGTGTGATTTCAATCACGGAGCTTCTCCTCTGGGACCTCAGTTTCCCGATGTATAAGGTGAGGGATTGGGGTCGCTGGTCTTGGTGGAGTCTTCCGGTGATGTCTCTCTATTGGTCAGAGTCATGTGTATTTGGGATCTAGAGGGAGAGTTCCCCAGCCCACCCTGGAGGCTGTGAGCTGGCTGCGAGCGTGGGGATGTAGGCAGTGGTGTGTGGCTGCTGCATTTGACAGTCCCCTCTTTCTGCTAATTCGGTGTCCTCACTATATAATTATACTGTGAAATTCCCTGACTGAAGATAATTTTTTAAAATATCTTTCCCTGACTCCCACCACTCATTGCCCAGATTCGTGAATGGGGTAAGTGGGCGTTTGCAGCTTTTGGCGGAGAGCGAGGATGTTATGCAACCTGCCCTTCTCAGAATTTCCCAGCACCGCCTCCACGCTGGGCCCCAGAAGGGAAGAATAGGGCTTTTCTGGTTGGGAGGATGCAGATTTTGACTTCTCTGAGTCTCAGTTTCCTCATCTGTGAAGTGGGGAGAAAATGATCTTTCATGCGGGGTAACGTGAAGAGTATGATACCACGCCCTGTGCCTCTGACCACAGGACTGTGATGAAAATGTGGCCTTCCTCCCTCCTCCTGTGATCTCGGGCTGGTCACTTCACTCCTCCGAGCCTCAGTTTCTCCGTTTGTAAGTGGGGTCAATAATAGTTACCTATCTTTCAGGAGTGTTGTGAGGGGGTTAAGGAGAATAACAGCCCGAGAGGCCCTGTGCTGTTGTTACTCAGCAATTGGCATTTATTATGACTGTCAGGAAAGGCACGCTGTCCTGTCACACCCTGCAGGATCGTGTTATCAGGGTGTGTGTTCTGGCTGGCTGGGGGCTGCGTTGCCAGTCCAGTAAGATACAGCCAGAGCTGATAACGAATGGACCTGTCAGCTCGATGCAGAGCACTTCTTGAAGCTCCCCAGAGGCAGGTACCGATGCCACATTGATAAGCCCCATTCCCCTGATGGGTTCCTGACATTTCCTGCCTGCGTTCCCCTGACTGCCTGGGTCAGTGGTCAGACTGAGTCACAGCCACTCCCTGCAGCCCCGGCTGGCTGCTGATGCAGGGCTCGGGGCGCCAGGCAGCTACGCAGGGCCAGTCCACTGAGAGGGTGCCCTTTCTATTTATATTTTAAAACATTAGAATTTTTCTTCTTATTTAACATTCTTATTATTCTTTCTTACGTAAGGAAGATACTTAGAATGCTTTGATCATTACTGTTTATTGCATATGTCAACATGTGTTTATTTAAACAGAGACAAAGGCCCGGAAGGAATCACCAGGAAGTAAATAGTTGCTGCCAGCAAGGAGAGGGGTGACGCATTCACTTCTTTAGACTAAACAAAATGGTGGGATTAGCAAACATGCTTAATTTTGATTTGAGTGAATGCTGCTCTGTATAGTTTATGTTTACATTTTTTTAAATTAAATAACATGGATTGCTTTAGAATTAGAGATCAAATCTCAAAATGTAAAGAGACAAATGACAAAAACACTTTTCAGCAGAGGAAACATCTTTACCATAATTTTTTGTCGGTTTGAATTGGGCTAATCTGTACCGGGCGCCTATGCCCAGGGATTAATCTGTGAGTTCAAACTCCCCAAGGAGGCGTATGTTTTTCTTGCTTATCCTTCTCATTTCACAGCCTCTGACCTGGGTTCTTAACAGGAATCCTCGTAGTTCATGCATGCTTCGGTTCTGGAAGGGGGGCCCTTCTTTCGTCACTGTACGCTCTGTGTGAGATTTGTACTGAGGCTCTGTGGACCTGTCTCCGCGTGAAGGCCAGGCTCAGTGCGGATTTCATGAAGACCTCAGCACCTGCTATATCTGTAGCTCCCTTGGGGAAAGACCCAAAGCTCTGCAGTGCAGACCCCTGGGCTGGCCACCCCCATCCCTGCTCCGGAGAAAATGCACGCACTGGTCTGGTGGGAGGCAGTGCTTCCTGTTTCGGGGGATGATCTCATCTTGAACTGGAGGGAGGTCTAGCTGGTGCTGATTCATTTTAGCAGGGAGGCCTGCAGAGCCGAGGGCCTTGCCTCTCCCCCTGCGATTTTCAGCATTCTGTTGGGTCAGCTTCAGGGCGTTTGTCTTTTAAGACTAAAGTTAGCAGTTTTTAAAAGGAGAAACCGAAAGCCCGTTCTCTTGTCGTCTGCATGACTAGGATGGGGCCAGAAACAGACAGCCGTGGACTCTCACGGGTGGGTGAAAGTCTATAGACTTGCTGACTCGCTTCGGTGGGGTCTTGGCAAAGGGTCTGAATGCTGGCTCTGCTACTGATTAGCTATGTGACCTTAAGCAAGTTACCTAGCCTGTCTGAACCTCCACTTCCTTATTTGCCAAAGAGGGATTCAAAAGACCTTGCAGAATCTGAAGAGGACTCCATTACATGTGACTGACTATGTTAGACGCCTTTCAAAGGTAAAATTAATAGGAATGATTACAAGACAAATCATCAGCAATGTGATGGGGGAACGTTCTATGCAAGGCAGCCTGGGGCACGTGGTGCTTAGGAGGCTAGTGTCCAAGTGTGAGAGAAAACAGCACTCCCCGTTCCGTGTTGTTAGAGCGGAGGCCACCAGGTGCTGTGGAGGCACCGTGTGACCCTCCTGCCTCCGCTGCCTACCTGCAGGGTGACCTTGGGTGAGTCTTTCCCTTTGCCAGGCTCCAGAGCTGAACTGCGCGAAAACCACGCTCCTTTTCAACCCCAAACGAGGCGCTGACCTTGCAGGGCCCCCATGGTGTTAGAGACTCCTCCTCATCAGGCCCTTCTCTCCTTGTGCAGAATGGGCGTTGTATCCAGAGTGTTAGTCGGTGGATGGCGGGGGTTAGCTGCTGCTTCTCTCTCTCCCCAACTCCTTGAAGGGGCTGCCTGTACGCACCACCCTGCTGCGTTTCTGAGCCAAACCTTTCAGCTTGTCTCCCTGCGTGTCGCCCTGCTGAGCTCCCTGGCTGCCCCAGACTTGAGTCTTCCCTGGGATCACACTGACCTCAGAGTCCCAGGTCCCAGGCCCGTGTGCACCCTCACAGGACCTGCTTAGAAGCCCCTGTTTCAGTTTGGGTCATCATGTCTGGCTCTTCTGGGACCATATCTGGCTCTGGACCCCAGAGCGCCCACCCTCTTCTGCCAGCCCTCTGCTGGGCCCCTGGGGACGTCCAGCAATTTCTTCTGGAGCAAGGCAGAGATGGTGCTTCCCGTGACACCATGCCGGGCTGGCAGGTGGCCCCTCTCTAGGTCCTGCCGTGGAATGGATCAGCTGTTCCCTTTCTAAAGATTAGTTTCCCCTGCCCCCACATCCTCCTCCTTGGCCACTGGCTCTGCGATGCTATGGGCTTTACATGCCTTTGCCCCCAAGCTGCACCCCGACCCAGAGCCTAAAGTGCTGAGGAACGCAGACGTGGCGACACAAGAATCCACTGGCTCCTCTCCTAGCTGCTGTCCTTGGCCTCGCTCCTCTTCACTCCAGGCCGGCCTTAGGCACACAGATTTGCCTTCCACATGCATCCCTGCAGCTCTCCAGGATCGGGGGCTGCCCTGCAGGCCCAGCTCCGGTCCCAAGAATGAAATTCCAACTGTCTACTCAGCCAGTGCTTCCCCAGCATATCAGGAGGTCAGCAGGAATGCGGAGTGGCTCAGAGGCTACGTTTTCTGCTGGGATTTGCATCTAAGCGCATGTGGCGTTACACAGTCCGGAGGCCAGGACACAGGATGGGGAAGAGGACTGCTTCTTAGAGTGCACTGAGGGTGGCATGGCTGGCTCAAAGGTCAGCACTTACATACCCAGTAAAAAGGGTGTAAAAGCATCCCTTTACTTACTTCCCCACAAAGCTGCATGTGAGCGTGTGGATGCTAAGCCCCAGGGCGGGCAGTCCGGGGCAGTATCAGGGGCTGGGAGTCAGTGGTGAGAACACAGTGTCATCAGCAGTAAGGACTGGACAAAGGTCTCCGGACTCCCTGTCCAGGGCTCCCCATACCCTGAGTCTCTAAGTGTTTCTAAGTGGCTGACGGCTGGCTCTATCTACTAGGTGTCTCTTCATCAGGTCCCCCAGGTGTGGCTGCTGGGAGATGCAGGCATTTAATTGCACTGAGCAGTCCTAGTGCCAGGCCTTGGGTGGTTTCCCATGATACCAGATTGGACGGCAGGTGGCTGTGCGGGGGCATGCCTTTGCAGTGGGTTTAGCTGCCCCTTTTCAGAACTACAGCCTGCTCCAGGGCCAGCAATCGACATGAAAGAAGAAATGTAATGAGCCGGGTAATAGTGGAAATTGATAGTGGTGATTAATTGCTAAAAGCATGCAAAGACCATGGCAATGGTTGGATGACAAAGGCAGAAACCTTACTTCCTTTTGTAGGCAGTGCTCCAAACGGCTTCAGGTCTCTGTAAACAGCTTGCGCAAGCTTTGTGAAGATGCGAGGCGCTGCAGGTCTCCAGCAGCTCTGAAGTCAGCCTTCCGTCTGAACACCACTCTACCTGTCTCTTCCTTGCTGTGTCGTCTTGGGCAACTTGCTGTGACTCTCCTGAGCCCATGTCCTCATCGATAGAATGAGGAAGAGTCCCAATTTACAGACTCGTGAAGAGTCAATGAAGTGAAAGATCTGAGAAATAGACAGGCTTTGGAACCAATTCAAATTCTGGCACTATCACGTATTGGCTGTGTGACCTTGGGGCAAGGCGTCAACCACTCTGAGCTTCAATGCCCTCATCAGTAAAATGAGGATAATGATAATCGTATCCATAATACATCATTGCTATTGTGAGGATTAAGTGAGATAATAAAGTGCTAAGCACATACAGCATATGAGACGTTGCAACGTTCAATGTAGTTTGCCTATACAACACTCTATTATGAAATGTTTATAGGCTCTTAGCTCTGTCCACGATACTAGCAGCGATAGTGATGTGTATGACATGCTTCTCATGTGCTAGATGCCATCCAAAGCTCTTAATGTGTATCAGCTCCCCCAATTCCCGTAACCATGCTATGAAGTAGATACCGTAATTATCCCTGCTTTATGAATTAGGAGGCTGCAGGCTAGTTAACTGGAAAAGCTAACCAAGGCACCTAGCTTTTCTGGGGAGGCTTGGCCACCCAGAGTTGTTTTGCTCCTTATACATTCTTCCTTGGGTGGAGGTTGCTGTGGCGTCCTGTCCTATCTGGGCACGTAATGTTTCAGCATCCCACCTGGCACTCCTGGGGGACTCAATCCTGTCTTACCCAGGAGCGTTCCCCATCCAAACCTCATCCCACAGACTGCTTAGTGATATCACCATCCAGGCCTCTAACCCCCAAATTTGGGTGCCCTCCTAAACCGGGTAGATGAGAGCATTCTGGGCAGAGGAAGCAGAATGTGGATAAGGACATGAAGGCATCAAATGGCATTGAATTCTTAGGAAAATGCAGATGGCTGCACAGTTGGATTGTTTGGAGCTGGGTAGGAGGCATGTGTCTGGAAGTGTGTGTGGAGAGACAGGCAGGGTCTAGCGCAATGATTTCCAGCCTCATGTGCACAGAAGAATCACCTGCGGGGCTTTAAAAAGGCCACTGCCTGTGTCCGACCCCCAGAGGTGACTGAATATTGGGATTTAAAAAAAATCTTCCCAGTTGATTCAAATATCGGCTGAGACCCGATGTTCTAGAGATCACTTAAGGAAATGTAGATTATGTTAAGCAAGTAGACCTTCACTGTATGGTAAATTACTATACTTGAGGTAAAATAAAAAATTCAGGTCTTCAGTTGCACAAGCCACTTGTCAAATGTTCAGTAACCATTGGCGGCCGTCATATTGGACAGCAAAGGTAGAAAGCATTTCTCTTCGTCTCAGAAAGTTCTCTTGGGCAAGACTGACGTAGACTTTATTTGGTTGGCAGCGAGAAGCCACTTAAGGGTTTTAAGAAGGGGAGTGATGTGGCCGGGGGCTTGCTTTAGGAAGAGGATTCAGGGGCTGAACAGAAATGGAGCCAATGGATGTCATGCTAGTGACACTGACAACAGAGGGAATTATTAGGCAACTGTTCTGCTGCTGGACAGGGAAGGCCTGAACTAGAGCCTCAACACTGGCGCTGGAGAGGTTGGGATAGATGTGAGTAGGGTGAGGGGAAGAGGCACTCAGGACAGGCAGGCCCAGTTGGATGGGGGCTGAAGAAGGAGGCTAAGTTTAGGTTGCCGCTCACATTTTGGATCCGTTACCTGGAGGTTCCTCTGTGGCAATGGTTCCCAATCCAGGTGATTTCCCTCCCCCTCACCCAGGGGACATCTGACCACACCTGTAGATATTTTTCATGATTGCAACTCAGCGGGTTGAGGGTATTACTGGCATCTCATGGGTAGAGGCCAGGATGAAGTCAAGGCTGTTAAATGTCTCATGATTCACAGGTCAGCCACTCCAGAATGAAGAGTTACCAAGCCCTCAATGTCAACAGTGCAGATGCCGAGAAAGCTTGTTCTGTGGATAAAGGCATGAGGCCAGTCTGAGTGCAGTGGTATAGATAAAGAATAAAAGCTGAATGAATTGTGCTTTCAGCTCTTCTGAGAGTGGATGGTGGAGATCTCCAGTGGACGGCAAATATCACATCTGGAGCTCAGGAAAGAGGAGAGGAGCAGAGATGAGCAATGACCCCCTGTAAGGGTCATTGCTGAGTTTAAAATGAGGAAACTGAGGCCAGTATAAGAAAATTAAATGCCAATTTATTCAGCTCCCGGGTGAGGTTCTCTGGTCCTGGGAAAGGGGGCCAGAGATGTCGCGCTGACTTCCTGAGGGTGGGGGTTATGGCTAGGAGGAACCAGAAACAACTGGGTGCTCTGATTGGGTCCAGGGGAGCAGGACTGAGACGGGGCGGGCCGCTATTGGTTGGCGGGTTGTTGGGTGGGTTTTCTGGTGCGAGAGAGCCAGGGTTGCATCAGCTGGAGCCTTCCAGGGGAGCCATGCGGCAGAGCTAGGTGCCGGGTGCAAAGCCTGGTGCCGGGTGCAGAGTCTGGTGCTGAGTGCAGAGGTGGGTGTTGCCTCCTGGTGAGGCAACCAGCCTTACACCCCCTACCTCTGTGTCCAGACCACCCAGTGGCTGCCCTGGACTCCTGAAGGTGCTGAGTGAGAATTGGGGCTGAGAGTGGAGCCTCAGGGAGCAGCCACACTCCAGGGACAGGTGGACGGTGGGGAGGCCACATTTTTGGTGAGGTCTTTGTGTGAAGCCAAGTGTTGTCTTTCTTCAGATGATAGCATCTGGAACATCCCATCCATCCTGCATCTCCAGGCATTGCAGACGGTAAAGACTCATCCTTGCTGTCCAGCACCCAGGCCTTACCCCTCAAGGCTGGATGTCTCCAGAGCCGTGGGTTTTATGTCAGTGACATCTTCCAGATTCCTCGTGCTCCAGGCTCTGCTCATCTAGGTGTGGTCCTTTGGCATTGGAAGGAAGGATGGGAAGAAGGGCAGGCTTCTCACCCCCAAATGCCCCTTTGTTCCACACAGTCCATATGTATACCTAAAGGATACATACTGCTGAGCATGGGGCTTGGGCCATTTTTTGGCAATTGTCCCTGCAGTGGGTTGAATGCTGTCATTTCAAAATTCGTGTCCACCAAGAACCTCCGAATGTGACCTGATTTGGAAATAGGGCTTTTGCAGTTGAAGTTAGTGATCTTGAGACATCCTAGGTTTACGGTGGACTCTCAATCTAATGGTTGATGTTCTTATAAGAAGAAAGGACAGAGAGACACATAGAACTAAGTTCATGTGAAGACAGTTTGGGACTGTGCTCGCACAAGCTCAGGAATGCTCAGAGCCAGCAGAACCTGGAAGAGCGAGGGAAGGACCCTCCCCTCAGGCCTTCAAATGCAGCATGGTCCCGCTGACAAGTGATTTTACCCTTGTAGCCTCCAGAACGTCAAAGCCACCTGGCTTTGGATAATTTGTTATGGAAGCCCTAGGATTTAATACAGCCCACTGTGTTTAAAGCGGTCCTAACCTGACACAAACATTTAATCCTAGACTCGCTCGTCAAGCTTCCTGAAGCTTATCGTTTGGGTGAGAAAGGAAGATTGGAAACGGGACATCTCCGGCGTCTGTCTCAAAAGGCTGTCTTCCGCCATTTATCAATGGGAAAACCATCTTAGAGGAGAGGGAGATTTGGGAAGGCAATAAGCCCTGGGCTCCAAGGCAGCTTCTGGTAGCTGGCTGATAATTTCTGTGGCAGACTGATCTTCGATTCTGAATCATAGTAGATTGTAATGCTGTTTATGGTAACTGAAATTTATTGGGAACTTACTATGCACTAACACTTTATAGAGAGCTCAACGAGATATCGGCACTCTTTACTTCAACCCTGTCACTACCCCACTTTACTGATGAAGAAACGGAGGTTCAGAGACACTCTCTAAGGCCTTGCAGCTTACGGGAGGAGAACTCCAGATAAGCCCCGAGGAGCCTGGCACGAATGCTGGTTTTTAGCCGTTGTACGCACTGCCTGCAGAGCGATGAAGTTACTGGGTGAGCAGCCCCTGTCAGGTGAGTGTGGCCATCTTCAGGAGCTCTTGGATTACCTGGTTTCTAATACTGTAGGCACTAAGTGAACAGAGGAAGGAAGACAGTGACTTGATTAAGTGCCTTCAGGGGATGCTGCAAAGATCAAACTATCTTGGGGACACACGGGCCACCTTTGAATTCTGGGTTGGGAGGCTCTCTAAAGAGAAGGGGTCCCAAGTGCTGCTGTCACTGATGCTGTGGCTGCACACGACACCTGTCTGTCCTGACCTCTGGCCCTCTGCCGTTATCACTTGGCCTTCGGTGGAAAGTCAATGAAGGCCTCAAGACCCCGAGTGTGGTCTGTGGACCAGAGCAGCATGAGCATCGCCTGGGAGCTTGTTGGAAATGCGGCCCCTCGGGCTGCCCCAGATGGACTGAGTCGGAATCTAGGGGGATTTGCATGCACATTACAATGTGAGAAGCAGGGAAAAAATGACCCAAAGAAGTCCATGGCTTGTTGTGAATTCTGTGCACTCTTGGTGCAAATGAGCAGAGATCAGGGCAGATGGAACTTCACACAGGGACCTTGACTTCGAGGATCTTGGGCACTGGATCAGACGGCCTCATTCAAGGTCATCTTTGGCCCCATCTGCCCTGTGATCTGACACACTCAGTTCTCTACTCCAGACCCCCAAGCTGGAGATGCCCTTCTTGGCTGAGCATCAAAGAGTGACCCTCCAGTGGTTACCAGTAAATTAATTGGCGGTACCTCTCTTTCTGTCCCTTCTCAGGGGGTAGGGATTGGAACTTCTGGGATGAGGTCCCTGACAGCTGAGCTCATGTGAGGCTGAGCACATCAGATTTCATGGCGGATCTCGCTTTTGATGTGCACTTTCACAAGGAAATGCTAGCCCCCGCCCCTGCTCTTTTTCCAGCACTGTGCTCTGAAAGGTAGTTGCTTTCAAGCAAGATGTCAAAGGGGATGCCCGCTGGAGATGAATTATGCTGCTCTCTTCCTGCTAGAGATGAATGGTGCTGCTCTGTGTGCGGTCCTCAGATGACTGTGAGTGCACGGGCTGAATGGGCTCTGTGTAAACGATTTCAAGTGTCTCGTCACTTTCCATTTTCTTTCACACCGAGTTCTTGCCTGTTGTGTGACTACAGCAGTTTCCAGAAGGTGAGGTCCTCTTGGGTTTAGCAGAGAATTAGAGGTCAGAACATTTTTTGATCAATCTCTCAC